AAGTCAAAGTAGTCTATAGAAAATAATTTAACAAGAAGGCTAAATATAAACTCAACACAAAAACTAATTATATTTCCATATAACAGCAATAAGAAATTTAGGAAAAGCTGTTAACATTAGCAAAATTCTATAAGGAATAAGTATATAAAGATATATGGGAATACACATTTAATATATGGACTATATATTCAGAATATATATGAAATATATAGTGCATGTTATTGTATGTATAGTGTATGCATGTGTATTTGTGGAATGAACATAATTAAACGTGTAAAATCAATATGCAGAAAATTATACTATTTTATTGAAAGATATCAGAAACTTAAAGTGCTACATCAAAGATAGTAAGATTACTGTCACTCTCCCTCCATAATTAAATGCACAAATCCAGTACAATTATAATCAGAATCCCAGTGGTGTTTCTCATGGAGCTTGACAAGCAAATTTATAAAATATAAATTTATAAAACTATAAAATTTATATGTAAAAGTAGATGCCCAAGAAGGCCAAGATAAAAATGAAGAACAAATTAAGGGGATCTACCTACTCTCTCAAGACTTATTATTAACCTTGGTAGTAAATACAGAGTATGATACAATGCAGTGATACATGAACTTGACAGTGATAGAGAAATAACAGAGCCCAGAAATAGTCTATGTATATAAAGGAATGTAATACATTTCAGAAGTGTCATTGCAGATTACTGAGGAAAGAACTCTTTCTCTCTGGGTCTCTCTCTCTATATATATATATATTTTGTCAATACATGGAGATAAAACATCTGGCAATCTATATGAAAAATAATGCAAATGGATCTCTTCCTTATACCACATAACAAAAAATTCAGATTAAGTACTTAAATGTGAACGGAAAAAATGAAGACCTTAGAAGAAATTGTAGAAGACTTTAAGACACCAACACATAAAAAAGATTTTTTAAAGAGGACACACAAAATGCTAAGCATAACAAAAAAGGTGTATACAATAGTACTGGCAATACACTCATTGTTAAGTTTGATAGTAAGTTCACACACATACCTTTTACTAAACTTCATCACTCCAATGGACCAAATATTACATTATAAAATGGTTGACTACAAATATAAAGGTATATAAATTCAGGAGAAAAAGAGGTCATTACCTTTAATAATTATGGAAAAAATAAACCCAACTTTTAGCAGTATTTTAGTCTTGCTAGTCAACCTGTGGTTTAAAGATATTTCTATAATACTCTGGTTTTCTCTTCAGATCATATAAATTGTTTGCCTTTTAAAGAAATTACTGTAAAAGCAGGGTGACATAAAAGATAACTGTAAAAACCAAAAATCCTGGCAAGCTATTTTTAATGAATAATTGCTTTGCCCAACAAGTACAAATACAAGTCAACATTTGAAAATCTATTCTTATAACTATTATAATAGGTAAAATAAAAAAATGATTATCTTGATACCAAAAATGTATTTGACAAAATTTAAGATCCATTCCTGAATTTGAAAAAATAATAAGTAGTAGAATACAAAGTTAATATACAAAGGTCAATTGCTTTTTAAAATACCAACAGTAACAAATGGAATTTGAAATTTAAAAAACAAAGCCACTTACAATAGCACCAAAATACTGAAATTTAAAAAAATACGTGCAGGATTTTTATGTAGAAAAGTATAAGAACTATATAAATGGAGAGATATTCCATGTTTGCAGATGGAAGAGGTCGATTCTCATGCGACTTCTTATTAAGAGGTGGATTCTTCCCAATGTGATCTATAGATTCAAAGCAATCACTATCAAGCAACCCCAGCAAGTTACTTTATAAATAGCAACAAAATGATTCTACAGTTTATAGCGCAAGATGGAAGACCCTGAGTAAACAATGCAATACTGAAAAACAAGAATAAAGATGGAGAACTCACACCACCCAATTTCTAGATTTAGTATAAAGCTACAGTAATTAAGATAATGTGATAATGCAAAAGAACAGACATATAGATCAGTGGAGCAGACAGCCCCAAAATAGACCCATATAGTGATTTTTAACAAAGGAGCAAAGACAATTCAGTGGAGAAAGCATAGCCTGTTCAACCATTGGTATTGGAACAACTGGATGCACTTATGGGGGAAAAAATGAACCTACACACAGACCTTCCATCTTTAAAAAAAAAACTAACTCAAAATGGGTCATAGACATAAACGTAAAATGAAGAACACCTAAATGTCTATAAGATAACATAGGGAGAAAACGTAGATGACTTTGGGTTTGTAAATTCAGTATCAAGGGCATGATCCATGAAAAAGAAAATTATGTTGGACTTCACTAAAGAAACTGTGATATGAAAATTGAAAGACAAATTCTAGACTGGGAGAAAATATTTGCAAAACACACATCTGTAAAGGATTTGTATTCAAAATATATAAGGAACTCTTAAAGCTCAACAATAAGAAAACAAAAATCTGAACAGCTACTTCGTCGATGAGAAATACAGATGGTAAAATATGTGAAAATACTTTTAGGGAACTGCAAATGAAAACGGGGGGATATCACTACATGCCTGTTAAAATGTTAAAACCAAATGGTATTTAAATATCAACGTATTTAAATTTAAATACTAATTTGCTGGCAAGAATGTGAGAAGATAGCTTGGCAATTTCCTATAAAGCTGAATCTAACCTTACCATATAATCCAGTAATCATATTCCTTGGTACTTACCCAACTAGTTTGAAAAATTATGTCCACAAAAAACCTGCATGCAAATGTTTAAAGCTGTTTTATAAAGAATCATCAAAAACTAAAAACAAATCAGGAAGCCCTTTGAAAGATGGTGGATAAACTGAAGAATATCCATATAATGGGCTATCTTTCAGAGATTTTAAAAATGAGTTATCAAGTCAGCAAGGAACCTGTAGTGCATTTTACTAAGTGAAAAGTCATTTTCGGGAGAGATGGAGAAATCTGAGTAAGAAATAATAGTGAATGGCAAATCGTTTTAAGTGTGAGAATGGTATTGTAGTTAAATGGGACAATGGCCTCATTTTAGAGGAGCTTGTTGACATATTATAGGAATGTCATGATGACATACAGTGTGATGATAAAGTCTGTAATTGCCAGCAAAAGGTACAGCAGGAGAAAAAACACATTGGGAAAAAAGGCAAAAGTAGCAAAATAATAGATTGTAAATCTAAATGAAAAGTATACAGGGTTCATCATTCTTTCACATTTTCTGCAAGCTTGAAAATTTCCAAATTAGAGGGAAAATATTGGTAAGATTTTAGAATTAGACAAAATAGTGCTTAAGTTCACCTTGGAAAAACAAGCATATAACTAGAAAAATCTTTAAAAAGAATGAAATATGGACTAGCAATGCCAAATATGTGTAAAATAATGAAGACAGCAATTTTTACAACAGAAACAGATTTAAATATATATGGAAATTCAATGTATGAAAGAGGATGGCTTTTCAAATCAGTGTGAAAAATACTTAATAAATGGGGTTGAGATAACCTGATAGCTATTCAGGGAAGAAAACTGTTAATCTTTACCTCACATCTTCCACCTCAATAAATTCCAAATGAATCAAAGATTTAAAGATTAAAAAAAACTTTAAAGTGCTAGAAAAATAGATTAAATTTACTTTTAAATATCGAGGGCCTTTCTAAGCAAGGCTAAAAGCCCAGAAGTCATAAAGACCGATAAATTAACATAAATAAATCTCAGGAAAATATTATTAAACATATGACAATGGAACAATTGCTTAGCTTAGAGTGCATACAAATCAATAAAAAAAATCACCTAATACAAAATAGAAAATGACCACAAAGTTCACAGAAAATTAAATATAACTAACCAGTAATATGAGAATGTGTTCAATCTGTGATAAAGAAGCATTATCATTTCATTAAGATGCAAGATACCATTTATTTCACTTTCAGATCATCAAAATTTTAACTTTATCACTCAGTATTGGAATGGGCCTGAATCATTCTCATACATTATATGCAGAAGTATAACTGGGCAAAGATTTCTGGAGAATAATTTGGCAATAGTGACTGAACTGAAAATGGAAAATATTCTTTGAACCAACAATTCCATTGCTAGGAATTAACCCTGTAGTGTAATCTCCTGATACGTAAAAATATGTTTGCTGCAATATGGGTTAGCAATCAAAAAATGTTGGAAACAATCTGAAAGCCCATCAATGTTAGAACATTTAGAACATATTCATGCATTGGAATACCACATAATGAAAAAGAATGGGATACTCTGTATATACAGATATGTAAAGTTCTAAGACAGCAAAAAACAAGGTACAGAGACTGTATAGTTTGATTTCATTAATGTGAAAAGCTTTTAAACTATGTATTTGCTAGCTTTATTTTCCCCTGGAAGACTATGCATAACACTTTAACCTGATTACCTGTAAAGTGTGTGTGGTTAGTAAGGGAAGGGGACAAATTTAAAACCATGCCTTCCTGTACCTTTTATTTTTTTGCCTTGTACATATCTTTTTTTCCCCATTTTTCAAGAATAGTTGACTGGTATGTTAGTTTCAGATATCCCTAGGTGGGTTTGAATACTAGCAGTACTATTTTTCCATAATTCTGAAGATAAGTGCCAAGTTTTACAAACTGAAACCCTTCAGTTTTTACTAAACATCTTTCCCCTAATGCTATTAAGTTTGCCACATTTAATAACAGCAGTTTAGCCATATAACATATTTATGATGGACTAATTAGACACTGTTGCTTCAGGACCAAAATTCTTAAACCCCCAAAGGGCATTTGATAATTTATATACAAATGAAATTATACATTCTATTTCAACTCTAAAAAACATAAAAGTGCAGTAAGACTTTACATGTATGATAAAAGGTAAAGCATCTATTGTAAAATAGCATCATAGTCATAAAATTAACTGTTACATTATTCTGGGGACAGAGAAGCAGAAGAAAATGTGATTAAAAGTAAAAAAAACAAAAACAAAAACAAAAAACCACTACCAAAAACAGGGTGAGACAATCATTTATTTATTGGACAGGGCAAGGTCATTTAAAGAAGGAAACATATCCCAAAAAATGTGTTTAGCTTGGTGTTACAGGCATCGATGCTCACAACAAACAACACTACTCAATACATCATGGAAACAGGCCACATACAACCAGGAAGATGCTGTCATGCCACTCAAAAATAAGCCACAATGCTTAGGAAACAGTCATTAGGGAGTTACAGAACATCACGGTCACCAATGTGCCGATCTATGTTTCCTGCAGCTAGGTCATTAGCCCATAGTGTTTGGCTGGTTCCCTGGTTAGTTAAGAAGTGATTCTTCCTATTGACTGGAGCACCTTCCATAGTACACACTTCTGAATGTCACTAAAGTCATGGTTTACTAGTTCATATCACATTTTTGGACCACCCTCAGCAGCCATGGACAGTCTCATAGCATTATAAATAAAATTCTCTCTTGAGTCCACTTAGCACTGTTAACTTTAGTCCTGTGAGACATACTTGAAAAAGATAGCAGAAATTTAATTTGGGGTTGGGGAAAGAAATTTGGAAAGCTCACCTAGCCCAAGGTATACAAGCTGGTAGCCTGGAAAGTGCTATATCAACTATTTGCCAAATTATTTGGCATCATTTGAGCAGGATTTTCCTGACTGGGCAGGCAAAGATTTCAATATCCATTCTCGAGACTGGCCAAAATATTTTAAGTAGCAATATATCATGAATGTCTGACTATGAGGAAAAAAGTCAGTTTTTAAGATTGACTTGTTACACCTTTGGATCTTACCAACCACTTCCTTTCATAGCAATCACAGTTCTCAAGAGGAGAAAGTCTCACTCCAGAGAGAAGAAAAACCACATTTGCTACCAAAGATACTGTACAAATCTGTTAACATGAAATGACCAGAGCAGGCAAATCTATCGACACATAGATTGGTGGGTACCCAGGGCTGGGAGGCAGTGTGGGGACATGAGAGGTAACTGCTTAATTAAGCACATAGAGTTTCTTTTGAGGGTGATGGCCATGTTCTCCATGGACGGTGGTCATGGCAGCCCCACTCTGAATAGATTACAAAACCACTAGGCCATCCCCTTTAAATGGGTGAGTTGTAAAGAATGCCAACTATCTCAATAAAGTTTTATCAAAACTTATTGGGAAAGGAAGAGAACCCCCAAAACGGAGAAAATAAGAGGGTCCTGATCAAGCCTTATCTAAGGAGCTTGACTACTTTGATTCAATGATTGCCACTTTAACCCATGACTTCACATTTTTAACTCATTTCGAAATTAGTCTAGGTTCTCAGCAGATTTCCCACTGTGCTCTCCTTGGAGAGCAGAGACAGACAGGGTGGGCAGAACAAAACTAAGGGCATGTAGAAGTCCTGTGCTTTGCGGCTGTGTTCCCCAGCAGAATAGGAGAGCTAAGGCTCAATTCTAGTGGGAAAAAGCCATTATGAGAAAGGGCATCTTATGAGTCTTGCCTAAAGCACGTTTCCTTTTCAAATCTGCATAGTTATTTCCTTTACATCTATTTAGTTAGAAAAAAGGCAATGTTTTCATATCTATACAATTCAACAAAATGTTCTCTCCTAAGAAGTATTAAAACCTTCCTGCACATCAAAGAGCTAGCCAAATCCCCTAAAACTAATTCCAAACAATTTCTACTCTGCAGTCTCGTCCTCACCATCAACAATATACCATGATGATGGAAAATTCTAAGCCTGCTTCAAACCAAAAGCTATAAAACAATGTTTTAAATGACCTTCATTCTTTTAACATTAAAGATATTAGTTCCAAATATTTAAAACATATTTGGCCCAATTCCTTTGAAGTTGAACTTTAATGACAAATGTCCTTTAATTTTACTAATTCACTAGTTTAGTATGCAATAAAACAAGAGCCTTTGAATAAGTTAAACTGACTAATAACAAGTAATCGGTTTTCCTCAGCGATTACTATTCTTCTATATAAGCAGAATAATTAAATCATGGTCTTTTTGGTCTATCTTCAACTATTCTTATATAATCAATTAAGGAACATTTTTACAGATAAATGAAGGGAACACAAGTCGCTTTACAAGTTGAGTTTGTTGAAGTATTTGTTATGACAAGGAATCTGTGACACAAAAATTGCTCACTGAACACAGAACCCCAGAGAAGTGATGAAACGAGACAACTGATGTTAGAAGGGACATGGGAATGGGGTAGAGGCAGGGATAAATTAAAAACTGGCAAGTATCTGCTGAAGCAGAGCCACTTTTTAGGGGGCATGAGAAAAACGGATGAGTCGCCCTTTCGGTCTCTTTAGAGAGGTCCACTTCTTAAAAGCTGAAGACCATTTTACTGTCACTCATGCTGCAAAATGCAGTAGTCACACTATTTCCAAAAGGATCCTAAAAACCGAAGTGCAAAAGAAATCAAAGAAAATAAATAATTGCAAAAACCATCATTTTTCAAATAAATGTGTTTAAAACAGTGACTTTTCAAAACATGTGACTTTGTTTTAAATGAAAAGAATTCCCTCTATGAAAAATCAAGACTCATTTCACAGATAACTTACATTGCATTCACAATTCGATTAACAGTGTACAAACAAGGGGCCATGGACTTTTTAAAATTAGGTCTGAAATTTCAATATAAATACTGATGGGGGGAGTGTTTTATACCCCAAATTCCAATATTCCGGCTGTGTCCTGTCCTACTGTTATAATTTGTAAAAATCTTAACGACGCGGAGATTCAAGTTTTCTTAACTTCAATGATGAGTTAGAGGACAATGCATCTTGGCTTGAAGAATGTGTTGTATCCGAAGGCCGGAAGAGTACTCGACCACGATGATTAAATACATAAAATGATGGGTGATTCCTTAATGTGTCAAATGTCCTTAAAAGAAAAAGAGCATCAATTTTAGGCATTTCTATAAGCCAACTTGAAAATAGACTATTCTAATAAATTATGAATTTGCTATGGGTTATATCCCTTTAACTGTTGGAATTCATGAACCTAGACTATAAACTGTAGCCAAACTTTCTTTTTTCTGTACTATGACAAAACAACATGGGGTCTAACTTGCTGTATGCAGCCTTTCCTTCCTGTGTACACCTATGAATACAACATAAATAAAAGCCTGACTTTAATTGTCTCCATGAATATAACACTAGCCCATGCCAAATAATCTTTGTCAAAACTGGAAATGAGAATATACCTGATTATTCTCACTTGGCCCTTGCTCTTCACGCCATACGATTTTTCCACAAATCTGTTTTCCAAGAATCGTTCAAGTACAAGGAATTCCTTTTGGCCCTTCTGTACCTGTTTGTTGTCCAAACTCATATATTTTCTTCCAGCTACTAAACTCATATATTTTGCTACCACCTACTTAATGCCATTCAGTTTTACTTCTTTCTTTCCTGGCCCTCAGCCTGTGATTTTTGGTAGACTCTTTGTAAGAACAGTAGTGGGTGGTGATAGTGGAGTATCCCTTCTTTCTCCAGTGAGATATAAATAGACTCAAAGAAGTTCACAAGCACCTAAGTGTAAAGCTTTTAGTGTTGGTTTGTTTTTAAATATTACTTTTCTGGGGGGAAAAAAAGAACCACTCTTCCTTTGACAAAAACTCCAATCGTAGTGACAGCCACTTAAAAATCCAAGCATGCTCTCACACAAAGGAAGAAGCCTGTAATGTGACTATTTAAAATGTAAATAAGGAGGTGATTTTCTCCAGTACATGTTTATTGTGAACCCTTCTAATGGAACATTGTATCATTTCTAAAATCAAGAAGGTGGGTAAAGTCCAGAGATGGGATTCAACAAAGCCAAACAATGATATAAGGAAAAGTAGAAGGAAAAGAAAAGCAAGCAAAGCCTATGAAAATAGATGGGAAGAAATATAGGTGAAAAAAGAAAGCAGAGTAATAAAATACATTTTAATACAGGGGTAGAAAAGAGCCTGAGAAAAGAAGTTATCACAAGGTTTCAGTGATATGGAGAACAGAAAATCCCATATACGTCCAAAGACTAAGCTGGGACGAGTGGCTAAAAAGAAGACAACAGAAGGCAGAAGAAAAAAGAGAACACCAGGAAGGAGGAAACATTTCTGAGTGAGTATCTTCTGATATATCTATTTCTAACCTTCCATCCATTCATGCAAGCAAAAATAATTTTAAACGGCGATAATATAACATCTTGTTGTAGGGTCAATAAACTGTCACTCAACTTTCACTTTTTCTATCATCAAACTCTGCTCCAAAATTTTTACCTCTTTGCTCAAACTGCAAAATCAAAATGTAAACACAAATTTTTATGGACCAGAAAACATATGTAAATGAATTAAAAGACCTATGGCATTCAATGCCTATGAAAAGGGCAAGACTTACTTATTTTTTAGTTCTGAAGTGGCATCCATGTCTTTAAATTCCCCTGCAATGTGAACTATACCATAACAGGTAACTGCAAAGGCCAGAAGTGTCTGAAGAACTATCTGTGAGTAAGTAAAGATGAGATTAATACATAACATACACATAGTATTAAAATCTGCAATTCTCTCTCCACCTCTTATATCCTCTAAAAGGAAGTTCTCTCAGATGCTATTAAGGAGTCAATTCACACTTTAAATGACTTGGACTCAGGCATGATAAAAATCTATAAATTCTCTGAATTAGCTACAGAAATCATTCCTGGATTTTGCTCAAATAGCAAATAGGTATTGAGCCACTCAGAACTCAGAACTCAATTATTACCTGCTTCTAAAAAGCCACTAAGATTTATAAAATGTGTTACTGTTAATGTGTTCCTGTCAAATGTCAGTTTATTATCATTCATATCATAAATATAAAAAGGACCCTCGTACCCACCCCCTTCACCCTCCCACTCAAAATTATTATCTCAAATTATGTTTTAATCACTTCCTTGCTTTTCTTTATAATTTTACCAGATCAGCATATATTTGCTTATTTCCACCCATTTTGAACATTTTTTATCAAGTTCTTCCCTGTTATAGTATGCTGTTGTAGCCCATTCATTTTCAATGCATTTCATTGCATTTTTATTTCGTTATAAGAAAATACAATTTATTATTCCAGCTCTTTCCTGTGTCGCTTTTACAATGTCAATATGTATATCCTCACATATATCTCCTGGCACACAGGAGAGTGTACACAGGTTCAGCTCTACCAGGCAATAGCAAACTGCTTTCCAAAGAGATTGTACAAGCAAATCTTTCAATGTTTGATATTAATCACCATGGGATTACAGGCATGTCTTATTTTCTTGATTGTTATTCTCTATATTTTTCAAATTTTCCAATCTGTAACCAGACGCATGTTATTTTAAATAGATGTAAATGTGTGTATGTTGATAGATATGTATGTGTGTGTGTGAGTGAGTTTGTGTGGACCTACCACAAAGAAAGGTGATGGGAGAAACGTTAATAGTCACATCGACCATAGCCTTAATTATCTACAACTAAGTCAAAATTAACTACAAGCTATTATTCAAACTTCCTAGGTTAAAGCCTAATGTCACATGCTCTTAACATTTTACATTGTCTTCATCAGTGTACTGAGATGACCTGCTTCATGTACAGCAACCATGGGTACTGCTAAGAAGGTCATAAATCTACGAGTTGTCAAGAAAATATGTTAAGATAAACTGTTAATGAGAGAAAGTTAATTCTAAAACTATATGCATACGCATAATGACTTTCTTAAAGAAAAAACTCTTTGGATTAGGTAAAACCATACATGCATAAAGACAGACAATGTTATTTAAGCACAGGAAAAGAACTCCTGACACTCCAAACCATTGGGAGTTGGAGCAGAACTGCTGAGCAGAGCAGTCACATTTTTTATTTCGAGTTTTACTTTTTACACTTACTGTTTGAATGTGTTACAAAGAACTTAATACATTTGCATTTTAAAAGCCAATAATGATCAAAATCATTTTAGTTTAAAATATACTTCCTTGTCTTTCTTTGATTTTACAGCTATATATATATACATATATACATTCCTCAATGATGCTGTTAGTTTTGCTTGTTTTTGAAATTTATATAAAAAGGAAATTTTCTAAAAAATAAAATGATCAATTTTTAAAGTCCATCTATGGACAGAGTAACAACACCTAAAAAGACTACTTAAACTATATTAAAGCTACAGTCCTAGATACTGAGATATTTTTTGCTTCCAAATCTTTGGGTTTTATATGGAGTGATAAAAACAAGCAAATCAGAGAACAGATGTTATTTCATGTTGGAAAATTTTAAGAGAATAAAAACCAGTAAAATAATGTAAATTATGTGACTAATTTTCACATATATTTTAATGGAATATAAATGACCAACTTACATCTATTGGCAGTGATTCATCTTCCTTTTCTGTTAATCGCATATAAGAACGATCTATAAACCAGAAGCATACCATTAAGGAAATTGTAGCCCATTTTTCTTTCTTAAAATGCAAGCAAATCAATGTACCAAAGCAGCAGCTGATTTATATGCTACATGAAGTAATGCTAATCCCAGTTTCCTCAAACTCCTCTATTTTCTTAGGCAGTCGGTCTCATCTTGCACTATTTTTTCTCATCTGACCTGTTTTACCACCTTATGAAACGAAATAAAGTGAAAGGTAAGCAAGTATGAGGAAGAAATACCTAAACATAACTTTTTCCACTACTACAGGAAAACTGGAATCCTCTGAAACCAGCCCGTTTCTTTCACTAATTGGTCAGACAGTTTAATTTAAATTTAAAAATTACTGTCTCCAGAAAAATCTCACCTCTGAAACAGCACCACCATCACATATTCTGGACAAAATAATATTGGTCTGAGGTATTTTTCCCTGTGAGAATATGCTGTGGCAACAGAAGGCTAGGAGAAATTCCAGGACACTGACTTCTGCATCTATGATTTAATAATGGGCTGCCTTGGCCTCGGGAGGTGGCAGGTATGAAGGAACAAGATCAGGATTTGTAAGCTGAAAAGCCTGGATACCAGCTGTAACTACCTGTATCTCATTCAATATAAGACATCTGTGTGGATTATAACATGCACCCTGATTTCAGAGTGTTAAAATGTGGGCATGGGAGAGGGATTATGTCTCATAATTTAAAAATATAGAGAGTATCTCTTTTTCAATTTTCTGCAAAAGTAAAATGGGTACAATGTGAGGTTAAATGCAATATATGATAGGCCCTCTACCATAATCAAGTTTGCCATGGCAAAGATGTGCATATCAGCTCTGAAATCTGACACACCATTAGCCCCAAAAGAACCTTATATAGAGGTTCCCCAGTAGTAAGAAATCCACAAAGCAGTCTCTTCTCCCTGGAAACACAAAATCTTAATTCTAGAGAACTGCGCCCAACCTCTATTTAATAATGTATTATAAACTGAAAAACCCAAATTACTTTAAGTGCTCTTAAAGAGCGTATGTTTAGAGACATTTCTGAAGTTTTCTCATATGAGGGTTATTGTAAGGGATATATATATATATACACATATATATACATATATATGTATATATATGTATGTATATATATATATATATGTATATATATGTATGTATATATATAATCAAACCAGCACCAAAGATGAGTTTTGGCTATTTCCAGCTACCTCTCTTCTTTGAACAGAGCCCAATGTAACTGAAACACTACCTTAACCAGGCATTTCCTCACCTGTAATATGCACTTGACCTTAGCCAAAAGGCCCAGAAGCAATCCTCCTCATCTATAATATGAAGGGGTTGGGCTCCAGTGACCTGGCACTAGTACTGCACAATTTTACAGCTGAAGCCTATGGTAGAAAATGAAGCTGTACTCCAGTCTCCTAATGCTAGGGCAATGCTTCTCAAACTAATGTGCCTACAAATCACCCGAGAAGCTTATTAAAACACAAGTTAGTAGTCAATAGATTTGGGGTGGGGCAGAGTTTCTAACAAGATCCCAAGTGATTCCTACCATGTTGGCCTGTGACCACACTTGGAGCAGCAAGGCTCCAGAATGTTTTTCTTAACCCCCTTGCTCTTTGAGAAACCAAGATATTTTTAGCATAGCATATGTATCACAGATGGATTTCCTGATCCATCTGTTTCTTCACTAAATTTTGAACTCCCTCAAGGCAGGCGTCCTTGTACCTTTAACATACGGCTGAATTTCAAACATTCACCCATGACTGTACTTTTAAAAGCAGTATAGCAAATAGATTCTAGAGTTTGACTGCTGGTCTGTGAATCCCGGCCCCACCATCCATCATCTCTGTAAGTTTGCACAAGTTTTCTTGTAGCTGTGTGTGTCTCAATTTCTTCATCTTTCCAAGGTCACTGGGCTTTGTGCAGGACTGAATTATACAATACTTTTAATGTCCTGGCACATGGCAAGCATAAGCATTAGATTAAGGTTGGCTACTACTATTTTTAAAGTTTTGATCTTTGAAGAAGCTGTCACAGAACAGAGGAGATTGGGGAAACACAATTAACTCTAGAGTGTGATTCCAGGCACACAAAGGGATGTTAATAGAAAAGTGATAAAATCCAAATAAAAGCTAGACTTCAGTTAATAGCACATGCAGGTCTAAGTTTTAGCTGTGACAAGATACCATAGTAACATGAAATAGAGGGAAATGGGTGAATAGTCTTTGCAACTATTCTGTATATTTCTGTAAACTTAAAAATAAAATTAATAATTAAAGCCAAATTTCTGTCAAAGATAAATGTTATAATACATGTAAAAGAGGGTAAAATAATTGACTCATTCAATTCTATATAATAAACAGGACAAGAGGTTTTATTTTGGGAAAAAAAAGAATTCATATTTCATTTTCTACTTTATTCCTTAAGATGAAAAGTAATTTAGCAATAAAGGCACAAAGTTTACCCTGAATTCATTTCCTTCGTTCAACAAATTTATTGAGTCCCTACTGTGGGGAACACTGTGCTAGGCAGAGGGGTTACAGCAGTGAACAAAACACTGTCCAGGTTAACAGTGGGCTCTATAAGCTAGGACAGAGGTCAACAAACTTTTCCTGTAAGGATCCTGATCATAAATATTGTATAATCTTTGCAGGTCACACTTCCTCTGTTGCAACTTCTCAACTCTACCCTTAGAAAGCAGTCAGACTGTGTGGGCGTGGTTGTATGCCAATAAAACTTCTTTGAAAGACATTAAACTTGGATTTTATCATAGCAGATCCAAAAATGGTATTCGTTTGCTCTCACCCCCTCCCCCTCTTAAACATGTAAAAGTATTCTTAGCTGATAACAAAAACAGGAGGGAGGTTACATTTGGCCCACGTGGTAGTTTGCTGACCCCTGGTCTAACAGACCAATTGTCTCTAGCCTGTACCGCACCACCCTCTGCTGGACCCCCATTTCCTTATGACAATACAATTATATTTCTATGCTAAAGAACTTAAAAAAAATTAAACTTCCCAATCACTTTACGACACAGGAAGGGCAGGAATTAAAATCCACCTCAATGTTGCCTCAGAGAACAGACATGATTTGACTTGTCCAAGGTCACTCACATTTAGCCTTAAAGCAAGTTAAAAACCAGCCCATCAGACTCCCAGTCCAGTGCTCCTTGCCCTGTACCACAGTGCCTCCCTGAGGCAAGTGGTCACTTAACTTCTCAGTCTCTGCCTGGACGGTCCAGTAGTGCCCAGGTGGCTGTCCACCTCGCTGTCATGGGATCACGAGCATCGGAGCTCTTCAATTTGACACTTTGCTTGGTCAGCGCCACTCTGGATTTGGTCTCGCTTGTCCTGGCTTACTGGGCAGACTACCTTTCTCCTCACCCCGTAGCCCCGCGGGTCCCGCTCCAAGCCCTCTCCCAGTCACCACCTGCCAACCCTGCCGCAATCTCAGGTACCCTGCTCGCCTAAAACTCAGACTCCAAGCCTTCCGCGGGGAGCACCGCACTACTTCCCGTAGCCACCCCAAACTCTAAGGTCTCAAATGATCGTTCTTGGGACACTCGGTCTGACACTCCCTCTGGGGTGCACCCACACACCGCCCCCAGAGTCCCGCCCCCAGGCACTCACGTTGCGCAGCAGAAAAGGCCGCGTGGGCTAGGGCAAAGAGACCGATGCCCACAAGCCCCTTCCACAGTGACGGCGCCATGATCTGCAGGAGCAACAGCCCAACAAAAGAAGCGAAGGGCGGCGAAGCAGAGTCTTCTTCAACCCGCTGGTATCCGCGCAGCGCAGAGAGATGACGTCACCGAACCCCTGGGCGCGAAGTGCCTCAAAGGTGGAAAAACCTAGGAGCCGTGAGAAACCGGAAACAGGAATGCCGGGAAGAAGGGGTAAGCGACACGGAACAAGGTCGGCAAGTGCGGGCAAGCTGCGCCTGCGTATCACGACTCAGCGAGGGGCGGAGCTAAGCGGAAGTGGGGTCAGTGGGGAAGGAAATAAAGGGCGCCAGCGAATGAGCGCGAACCGCGAGGCGAGGGGCGGGGCCTGCGGAGAGGTCCGGGCGGGAGGGGCGGGGGGGTTGACCAAAGGCTGTAGGTGTTGGGTCTCTAGTCACGGCGGGTGGCTTTCCTTGGTTTGCTTTACCTGTTCTTTAAGCTGTGTCCTTTGTTTTCTGTCGACCACTCCTGTGCTTCTGCCCGCTGACGACAGGCCTAGTGGAAAGCTAGATGTGAAAGCCCGGAGATGGCGGCGTGTAGAGGAAAAGCTCCCGAGATTTGAAGCGCTAAACACAGGGCTCGTGGGAGGGGAGGGATGCTCAGTAAACGTTAATATTCCTTCTTCTTAGCGTTCAAAGGTCTTGAATTAACGTCCGTAGGGATGTAGCTCGCGGGAGTGTTTTGTCCGGAAGGCAGATAACTTATATTAAAGAGGAAATAGGAAAGGGATGAACAAAAAAAGGATGACAACGTAGGCCCAACTTGTCTTTGTGTCTGATCAGAATATAATGTATTCTCCTTTCTCTAGTCCTTTTTGTCTTCGTCCCCTAAAAAGTGGACATTCAGTAGTGAGCTTCTCCGTTTGATCTCTTCTCACTGCCCTCTTTTTTGGCTAACTCACCTATTTATTCCCGCCTCTACAGCCATCATAGATACTTGTGTTCCAGATCGACATCTCTATCTGAGATAGTTCTCCTTACCTCCAGGCCTGCTGTTTCTGGCTACTTGCTGGTCATTTATTTCTATTCTGAGGCGCATCAAATTTAATATGGCCAAAATAAAATTCATTCTTTTTCCAAACTCTACCAATTTCTACAGTGTCCCAAGAGACGCACGGAGTGGTATTTGAAGCCTATCACAAGTTAAATTTTGCATAGTACAAATTTTCACTCTTTACCCACAACCGTATCAGAAGCATATGCTTTTCCTTACATCAATTTGCTTGCTCTCTCTCACTTTGCTTGCAGATGGCTGTTCGGACCACTTTCAATTTGGAGTCTTCCCACCCCTGATTCCCTCAACCTGACCTTTATCATGATCTAGTGTACCTATTTATTACGTGTTGTGTTATTATTGTTTACTGTCTAAGTTCCAAGAGGACTACCTAGAGCATTGCCTCTCACGTGATAGGCATTCAATAAATGTTTGTTAAATGAATTGATGGATTATGAGGAAATGGCATGTATTCTTGTTTAAATGGATTTCTATAGAGTCCTTCCATTATTTTGGAGTGGGTCCAAAAACCCATGTGGATTTGTGTGCACTCCTAAATGTTGATAAGCCTTTGATTGATGATAAATACTTTCTCATACACCTTAGCTTTCTTCAAGCTGATTTAAAAAAAAAAAACCTAGAAAATAAAGAAGGCATCCAAGAGTCATCTGATTTCCTTAACTTTACCTATATAGTTTTTGTCCTGGATCACATTTTCCAAACCTTCAATTATGGTCATTACTTTTCTCTGGCTCCTCTCCAATTTCTTCACCTCTAAGCCAACATTTGACACAATACTTGTTTGATGTTAAATACAGTGTAATGTGTTCCTTACAAATGGAGTCCTATTTATAAATCTCACCAGCAGGAAGAACCAGGAAATAATTTCTCTGTACTTGACAGGAAAGTATTTCCTTCTCCACCCCAGGGAGGTGGCAAGACAGAAAAGATAGTTGACCTAAAAACAAAACTTAAAATTTTGTTTTAACTTTGATAATGGTCACATTATCAAACTACCCCTGCTGGCATTAATTTATCTGAAGCAGAATATGGTTGGAAGGTTTCTTAAAGGAGTTGAGGTCTGTTTCCTTTCTTTGAAAACAAAAATGAGAATGGGAAAGGGAGCTAGTAAAAAATCTGCTATTTGTATACACCACTAATATATTATCCTAATTTCAAGGCAGTGACCTGTGTCCAGATAGTGCATGTTATTTTCTCCATTGCCCACTTAAAATGTTTTCCCCTGGGCCCTCCCTGGTGGCGCAGCAGGTTAAAGCACTGCACAAAGAAGCTTAAGCCACTTCCGCATGAGTTCGATCCCCGCCTGCCCTGGAGGTGACCACATAGCGTGGCAGACCTCTCCTGACCTGCCCACTGCTCCCCTCAGCAATGTACTTCGTCAATCTGCCTGTTCTGCTCCCCACTCTGTCTCTGGTGAATCCTCTCACCCTCCGCATCTCTGGCCTGTACCCCAGTTCTGTACGAATAAATAAATAAATCTTTTTTTAAATGTTTTCCCCAAATTTCTTTTGAATCTCTTACTCATGTATTGAGTACAAAAGTAAGGAGGTTATGTTAAAAAAAAATAGTTAACTTGTATTCATGGGGTGATATTGTAATTGTCTTCTCTGTAAATTCCAACCTGAAGGGAAGCCAAGGTCTTCCTAGTCACAGTTACCAAGGGCTGTATCACCAAAGTAAGTACTTCGCTTCTCCAGGTTGGAGATAATCCCAGAGGTCCAAAGTATAGCTAGTCCCTATGCTGTTGCAACAAAAGTCAAACCTCATGAGAAAGAGTATTTAAATTCCTGTGTTCCCCCAGAAGTGCCTTTAGTTCTCCCAAAGAAACAGCCAGTTTCCATATACACCGGGATAAAGTAATGTAGCTGTTACTAAAGTGGGGATAAGGATTTCTAAAGCATTGCCTGCCAAGGCATTTAAGATGACGCATCATGTTTCCCCAGGATGGCCTATTGAATGGAGAAAGCATAGCTCTCTGGCATTGTCTTCAAGCTAACTTTGTTTCATGCCACTCAACTAGATGAGTAATTTCATACAGCACTCATCCATGTCTCATTTCCCACACAGATTCTCCTTCCATTATACTCTGTCTTTTCCTGCCTCTTTAAAATTCCACTCTCCCTGCATTGTTTCCCCAACCATCACAGGTATCTTTAAGAGATGGATATCTATGGTAGGTATTTGGTAGGTGTTAAACCTTTCTTCAAGCTATTTATATTGATTTCAACCACCTGGATATCAAATTCTAAAAGTTGACAGGTTTACTAGGATTTTAAATATTTATATTGAAATTACATTTTTTGTTAACAAAAGTTATGTGTGTTGTGTAAGACATGCAAACAGTGAAACAATGTATTCCTTTTAAAGCCTCTAGTGGTGCCTTGGCATTTTCAGTTTTGAATCTTAGTAAACAAGTTTGTGTTTTCATGACTCATATCTTTCAGATTGGTTTGCTGGGTGGTTTATACCACTGTGGTTAAAAGCACATGCGCTGGAATCAAATTGGGTTTGGATCCTGGCTTCTCTTCTACTATTTCTGGGAGATTACACGAGTTACTTCACTGTGCTTCAGTTTTCTCATCTGCAAAATAGATACGTTATAGTATTTACCAGATAAGATTGCTGTCAGGATTGAGTGAGCCAAATGTTTAAGGTATTTAGATAATCTCAATCAGAGTGAGCCTCAATAAATGTTAGCCATTATTGTTGTTGTTGAGGGTCCTAGGCATCTTTTCAGATTGAAGAGATTCTTTATCCTTTTAGACGCTCCTAAAATATCAATTGCCTCCCCCTTGATTATTTTAATTGCTCTTCTCTGGACCATTTCCAAATTTACTAATATCTCTCTTGGGGTTTATTACCACATCTGTACAATGTATCCTAGGTTACTTGTTCGAGGTTAATATGATTTTTTATTTCAAGTAGCCTAGACAATGGAAGTCTTACTTGCTTTTTTCTTTGTAACAGGCTGGGTTGATATGTTCGGGGAAATAAACTGAAACCTCCAGCATAATTATACTGGCTCTTAACAGATAGCTGTGACCCGTTCTTTGTGGTATTCCTTGAATGTGGACACTCCTGGCATGACTGCAGACTTGGTCTCTTTCTATCCTCTCTTCTTTGGAGAACATGTGAACTCCCTCAGCCTCAACACTGTGCATACAGACATACTTCATTTTATTGTACTTCATTTATTGCACTTTGTTCCTTTCCAAATGGAAGGTTGGTGACAATTCTGGATCTAGCAAGTCTATTTGGTGCCATTGTTATAGAGTAGCCCAGAATGGACTGGGCCGCCTGTCTGTGGGGCCATACCCGCATGCGCACAATTCGGTTATACTGCAGGTACACACAAAAGGGTCAATAACGAGTTTATTTACAAAAGGGGAAAGGAATAGGAAACAACCCAGGGAAAGAGAGCAGGATACAAAGTAACTGGAATACCTTATGGCTAAGATGACTGAACACACAGAGTCACGAGACCAGGAGAGCTGCTTCCTGAGCAAGAGAGTACAAGATGCAATCATGCCCTATTTACCTCCAAATGTCTCAGAATTTCTGCTAGCTCTGCCCTTGGGTCCTCGCAGTTCTCTCCATGGTACTGCTGGGAGTTGTACTTTCCAATCAATGGAGTAGGGGGTAGGGTCCAGAAAGCTGGAGTAGGGGCCCCTTAACACCATTTTTTTAACAGCATGTGCTCATATCTGTGTCACATTTAATTTTTTAGACATAATTACATTGCACACTTAACACTAGACTGCAGTATACCGTAAATATAACCTTTCTATGGCTTGGGAAAATTAAAAATTCACACGACTCACTATATTGTGATAGTCATTACATTACTGTGGTCTGGAACCTGGGAGCGAATCTACTAGTAATCTTGACTTCACTCCTGTGCTCCAGAACCAAGCTACTAACTGCCTCTAGTTACCTTCCCTAATTGCTTAAATCCAAACTAAGCCGTGTCAAACTTTGTCTTCTGACTCCCGCCTTACTGCTCTTAGCAGTTCTATAGTTTTCATGTACCCAAGTTCAAAAACCTTAGCATCCTCATTCAATCCTTCCCCACTTTCCCACCCCATCAGTCACCAAGATGGCGGTCATCCTACCTCTGCAGGTGTTCATGCGCCCAGCTTCCCGTATCCATTCCTACTGCATCCAATAAGCCAAGACCTCATTACTATTCCACAAGGCTATTTTC